CTCGCTTTCCTATTTGCTGTCAAGGTTTGCACCTATGACAGCGAGCCTCTCCGGGTGCTCCGGGTCCAAGGGTATCTTTTTTGTTTCCTTTGTCGGCTTGAACGGGCCCTCGACTTCCGACTCCTTGGGGTTGGGTGACATTTCCGGCTGCTTGCCGGCCATCGCCACAACCCGGTCAAGGAGCCGCTTCTCAGTCGCGATCACGAGGGACTCGGCTAACTGGCTGCTCTCTGCTGCGTAGGCGGACGACTTCTTGTAGTCCCCTGCCACGGTCAGGATTCCCTTGGAGCTCGGCATCTTCATCTTCAGGTAAGCATAGTGGGGGATCGCCATGAACTTGGCCAGGGCAAGCCGGCCAAGTTATGCATGATAAGGGCTCTCAAGGTCCACCACCTCAAACCAGACTGGCTCTCGGTGGAAATGATTTTTGTCCCCGAAGAGGACATCTATCTGAGTCTTGCCGATTAGTGAGCAGGAAAGGCCAGGAACTATGCCATGGAAAACAGTCCGACTGGGCTGAAGATGTCCCTGCTTGATTCCCAACTTCTCCATGGTATCTTTGTACAGAATGTTGATGCTGCTGCCGCCATCTATCAGAACTCGGGAGAAGCGAGCAGCTCGCCTCTCCGTGGCAAACGTGGCATCCAACACCAGAGCATAAGAGTCGGGATTGGGCATCACCTCCGGGTGGTCGGCTCTGCTCCAGCTGATGGGCTTCTCAGACCAATGCATGAATTACGGGGTCTCTGATGCTACCACATTTACTTCTTGTCGCTGTTGCCGTCTGCTGCATCTGTCGTCGGCCACGCTGGTGAACACGACATAAGCTCCATGCTCTTCAGGATAATCATCTTGTATGGCGCCGACTGGCCGAGCCACCGGCTGCTGTGGAGGAGGAGGCGACAGGCCGGCTAGCGGAGGGGGCAGGAATCCGTCACCCTTGGCGATTCTGGTGAGCCAGTGGCACTTCCGAGTAGTGTGATTGGATGGCTTCGCACCGCTGTGGAACTTGCAGGGTGCATCGAGAGTCTGTTCGTACGAGAAGGCGGGCAGCCAGTTGAGCTTGTCGCCCTTCTGACGTTTGGGAGGAGGCTGCCCTTCTGGCTATTGATCTTCGACTGTTGCCACCTACCGGCTCGTGGAAGCCGGCTGCATGGCCTTGCGCTTGTTGTCGTTCGGTTGTTGTCGTCGTCTGTCCTCACCAGCCGGGGGGCGAGAAGCTTGAGGGGCCACCTTGCCTGACACATTGACTTGAATCTCCGCCTTCATGGAGGAGTCGGCCGTGACATATTTGTCTGCTATGATTAGCAGTTCGTCGAGGGTCGTCGGCTCGTCGCAGAGAAGCTTGTGCTTGAGGAGGGTGCCCTCTCGGCACCCGTAGTGAAGTACTCGATGGCCTGCACCTCGTGCACGCCCTCGCAAGAGTTGCGCAACTCGGCCCAGCGCGTGAGATAGTCGCGAATCGACTCGTTGGGGCCTTGAACGCATAAGGAGAGCTGGCGAGGCTTGGGCGGCCACTTGTACGTGCTAGTGAAGTTGCGGATGAATGCTTCAGTAAAATCAACCCAGCTGTTGATGTTGCGAGGCCTCGGGCTGTTCAGCCAGGTCCGGGCTGTGCGCTGGAGCATGAGCGGAACGTACTTCACGGCAACGCGCTTGTTGCCGTTGGCGATGCTGACGCTGTGGAGTAGTCGACCAGCCAGTCCTCCGGCTTCACGAAGCCGGTGTACTTGGGTGTATCTCTCGGGAGATTGAACCCTTTGGGGAAGGGCTCATCTCGGATGCAGGGGCCAAAACAAGGCAGACCCAGCTCATCTTCTTCTTCTAGCGCCAGGGATCGATTGAGGCGATCGATCCGATGGCAGGCATCATTTTCTCTAATACCTTCTCGGCGGCCAAGGCGGTCGTCGAGTGATGGGTGCTCAACAGGCGGCGGGGAAATGCGCCTCTCCCTGCGGGGAGGAGGCGGCGGACAGTCGTCTCGCCGCCGCACTGCTCTCGGGTGGCCGTCTTGGTCGCGCTCGATGGTGATGTGAGTCCAGCTGCGGCTGGCAGCCGGCTCCTTGTCTCTTCTATCGCGGACGCCACCAGTCGATGTCCGGGATGTCGCGCCTTGATCTCGGCGAGGAGGGGGGTCATCGTTTCGCCGGTTGGGCGCTTCAGTGCGGCACCCGGCATCTTGCTGTTCAACAGCCGCGTCGAGGAGCTGCTGGAATCGCTCCGTCATGTGGCGACACTCGTCGCCCTTAAGCTTGTCTAGCTCGTCTGCTACCGCCTGGACAGCTCGTATGTTCTCTGCAGGCGTGGCGTATACGGGGCGATCTGTCCCGAACATGCTGGCGATGATCGCGCCACGCTGCCGGACCAAGCCAATGCGGCTAGGCCCACCAGGAGCCGGCGTGCCGCCAACAGCACGGTCCATCTCCCGCTGGTAGGCCTTCGAAAGACGTCTCATGCTGGCCAGCCGGTTGGCGCTCTCGACGAGCTGTACGCGGCGTGCTTCCAGCGTTTCAGCGTCGGCGTCTTCCAGGATAGGCGCAGCCAGGTCTTGCATCGCCGCCTGCAACGGTTCCTGGCCACCTCCGCCAGAGTGCTCGTCGTGGCTGATGACGAGCACCTCCGTGACGGTGCTGCCGCCGTTGTCCGCGCGAGGAAGTGGCTCGCCGTAGACCACCACGTTGGAGGGGAACGCGTCAAGCGATGCCGTGCCTGAGTCGACCAACATCGGGTCGGTGGAGCCAACCGACTCCAAGTCAGCAACAGGCTTGCTGGCGATGTGGAGCTGATCGAGGAGGCTCACGAGACGGCTCTCGGGGCCATCGGTGCCCGCATCAGACGCGGACTCGTCGGAGAGGCGAATCTCACCAACAAGATCGGCGAGGCAGCTCGCCGCGCAGGCAACCTCCATGCCGTGCAGCGCGTCGGCGCAGGCGCCGTCTGGCGTGTCGGGCTGGCTGCGCTCGCTAGGAAGGAACAGGGTTCCCGTCCAGAACAGGTCTCCGGGAGACAGTGCACCTCGCCCCATGGTGGGCGCCAAATGTCGGGGGGTTGGGTGCAACATATGCCAATGGATGGCTTATCATGGTGGGAGCGAGTAGAACGTCGCCGGTGCCTGGAAGCGGGATAAGGCGTAGACACGAACGCCGGCGCACTTTACCCAGGTTCGGGGCTCTCCTAGGAGTTAACACCCCTAGTCCTGCTCTGCGGGGTCTCCGCATGATCACTAAGGCACTAGTGAGTACAATGGTGCTCCTCGAGCTGTATGCTAGAGGTAGAAGAAGGCAAGGCTTGCTTTCCTCTTCCCTTAGGTGTGAGTCTAATTCTAACAGGTTCCAACCCTTTGCATGGGTGCCCTGGGGGTTTATATAGGCCTACCCCTAGGGGTACAATGGTAATCTGGCCGGGTGTAGGACCCGGCTGTCAGTCTCTCTAGTCGTCGTCTTCTCCGCCGACTGCTGGGGCCCGCCGCCTGGTGGGCTCCGCCGGCTGGTCTGGTACGGAGCCGACAGGCCGCCTCCGCCGCTCACGGGTCTTGCCGGCTGTGGATTATTGTTGCCGTGCTGCTGATGACGCTTGCTTGGTCAGGGGAGCGTGGCTACAGTCCCGCCGCCGCCTGGAGGGAGATCACTGTAGCCACCCCGCGTCTTATCTGGTTGATGGTGTGTGGGGCCCCGAGGAAGGAACGGGCCAACTGCTGGGAGCCGGCCTCCCTCGGGTCCGACTGGTGAGGCACCCGCCATCTTCCGGGCTCTCGTTGACCGGCAGGGCCCACCGTCTTCGGGCCGTACCGGCAAGTGGTCGTGGGAACAGGGCTTCGCCTGTCAGGAATGATGTCAGGGGGGGGCGGAGTGTCTACAGTGTCGCGCCAGGCGGAGATCTCCGCCTGTATGGAGCACTGTGGCCACGCCCGGCCTTAGATACGAGGGGATGGGCTACACTGCAGCCACACCCTGTCTTGTCATCTTAATGGGGGGCGCAGACTTTGAGGGCGCCATGGGCCGACTGCTAGGAGTCGGCCTGCCTTGGAGCCGCCTTCCCGAGTATGGCCGTCTTCCGGGAGTCGGCCGCTCGGCCAACCGGCCCCCGGAAGGCGGAGTTCTATCTTGACGTCTTGAGGGGCACAACCGGCCCTGATGTCTTGAAAGGTTCTAGGGTTCAGATTAGGCTACACGTGGCCCATTACTCCGACACAAAGTAACATTATGATCCACAAATATCTGAAGCGAGGGTCAATGTAATTCTGGATAACTCGTAATATTTTCACAAAATGATTAGGAGTCAATTATCTCATTTTCATCAAGTTGGTATAACAATAAGTGCCTGATAATACTAATACGAGATGTGCAACCATAGCATCATGACAAGCAGCAGTGCGTGGAAATAAGCTGTGTTCAAAATAACACGGACTTACATTGTTGGTGAACATGCTATCCTTCCAGCTGTCTTAAACATCACCAAGTGAACTCCTGCACGATTCCAATGTATTAGAACCACATCACATGCTGAATGATTTGCAATACCTAAATACAATACTCACCATACAATCTACAGTGGCTACATATGAAATCTAGCTGTGAACCAAACACTTTTTAGTAATCACCTACCTTACTAATTAGTTTGTTATTATCACTTATGGCACTGATTATACAGCTTGTACAACGCCTAAACGCCCTTGTCATTTCTTCAGCATACAAAAGGCAGTGACTGGTGAAATCACAGCAGCCAAACTACGCCATTCGTCATCAGGTCCAGAACGTGAGGCAGAGAACATCAACAACACAAAGCAGCATAGATAGAAGCCATAATTATGGCAATCAGTCATTTTTTATCTATAATTATGTAGCATCCATTGACGATAAAAGAGAGTAGCATAGTTCCACAAACCAACACTTGACGGCAGAGAGACATCCTGAAGCAGCACGATTCAAAGTCTTAATAACTAAATAAAGCATAGTGCATTACACAGCTCCCAGCTAGCAAAAACCATTTACGCCAACATCCTAAGCTTCTATCTTCTCAACTGGTGCATCAAGCATCAAGGCCTTTGTCGGCTTCGCCAAGATGTCGGTGAACTCCTGGTACGGCCCCTTGGTGAAGGTCGTCTCCCTCCAGAAGTCAGGGGTGAGGAATCCATAGGTCTTCATCAGGCAGTCGAAGGTTGCCTGGAAACAAAAGAGTTAACAGCTCATGTTGGCAACTAGTCAACGCAAACAAGAATGCATTCAACCTGACTGACAGGAGTTAAGATCATCATCTGTACAGATGATAAGAACCGACTGGTGTGAAATAAAACAGATCTTGGCACCCATAGTATAAACATAGAAGAGATTAGATGCTCAACCAGAAATGTCTAAAATGGTTGTAATACACCCATAGTATAAACAGAGAAGAGATTAGATGCTCAACCAGAAATGTCTAAAATGGTTGTAATACACCAGTATCACCCTGTTAGAATAGATGCTCAACCAGAAGTGTCTAAATGGTTGTAATACATGAATACAAAATGTATTAGAACACATGCCATGATCCAGCAACTCGAAAATGCATTACATGAACAACTAGGAAAAGCATCTATACAAATGAGCTGAACTGTTTAAAAAAGTTGCAATACATTTTCAATCAATCAATTGAAGAACAAGCAGAGTAAATCAGCAAACAGTATGCAAGCTTATATCTAACAAGTACTTATAATACTTAAAGTGAACATCCTACACTATGCACAAAGCAATCATCAACTTCCATAACAGAACAGAAGATTCAGCATATTTGAACTGAACATTCTACACTATGCACACATAATGCAAGCAATTATGTACTGAAAGTAAAGTACCAACGATGGGAGCATCGCAGAATAAGGAAAAAGGCAGGGGAAGTTTATACCTTGACGAAGTTGCCAAGTGTCTTGGTGGATCCACGCGAGGAAGTGAAGACATCATCAATACCAGCGAACTGGAGCACCTTCTTGGGGACACGAGCGGCGACGATTCCAGAACCCCTCGGGGCAGGCACCATGCGCACGGTGACAGAGCCGCACTTGCCGGTGACCTTGCAGGGCACGGTGTGGGGCAGGCCGATCTTGTTCCCCCAGTAGCCCCTCCTGACGGGCACGATGGAGAGCTTGGCGAGGATGATGGCGCCGCGGATGGCCGTTGCCACCTCCTTGGCGCACTTGACGCCGAGCCCGACGTGGCCGTTGCTGTCGCCGACGACGACGAACGCCTTGAAGCGGGTCCGCTGGCCGGCGCGGGTCTGCTTCTGCACGGGAGTGATCTTCATCACCTCGTCCTTGAGCCCCGGGCAGAGCTGCTCCACGATCTGGTGCTCCTTGACGGGGAGCGAGTGGAGGTAGATCTCCTCCATCTTGGTGAACCGGCCCTCCTTGACGAGGCGGCCGAGCTTGGTGACGGGCACCCACTT